TGAAAGGAGAATTATTTCACCTTTACCAAACGGGTACACGATAATCTGTAATGTAAACACAAGATCTGATGATATGTGTACCGAACAGAGTTTCGAAAATTCTTTCGAAATTAGTTTTAATATTCGAGTCCTTTCCCCTCCCCCCCTCCCTCCCCCCTCTCCTTTAAAATTACAAAAGTTCCAAAAAAGAAACTGATAAAAACCGTGTATTAGCGAAGTGAAAAGGGACCGAAACGCTCGTTTGTTACGAGACCTTGGATTCGGAACCTGACTCAACGCGCTAGACATTTGATATCGAGGTTAAATGTTCCTCTCCAGTCGAGAGAGGGGAAAAAAAAAAGAAAAGAAAAGAAGAGAAAAAAAACGAGCAGTTTGTTCTTTTAGCAAAAATTGCGAGGGCGTGGAGAGATTCCGCGCATACCGATTCGAGTTAATAAATCCGAATTTCTTCATCCGGTGTTTCCATCCGCGTATTTCATCTGTTCTAATTCTAGTATATATATATAATAACCCGAATAATACGTTTTACCTGGAATCGAATCTTTTTCCGGATCAATAAGCTTTTTCAATTAATAATCGTTTAGCGCGAAAATCGTGACACACGCGCGCGCGCGCGCGTGTATGATATAAATGGAACGCGATATATTTCATTGCACGAATCAAATGCAGATTCTCGCGTCTTTATTTGAGGGAATTAACGCGGGCAAATATTTACCGTGTTTATCGATAAACGGTGGAAGCGAAGATCGGGCTAAATACTGTATTTCGCATCGTAGATTGAGCGTAAATATTTTCCACCGAAGAATAAGTATATACGCGTATGAAAATCTTTTCCGGCAGATTGGAACGTCCGGTCGTCCGTGGCACGACGTACGCTGAAAGTCTATAAGTTGCCGAAGAGTATTTTTGTCCGTGGATATTATCGATTGCATATACCCCTGATTCGTTCTCCCTTTCTCTCCAACCTAGAACGTATAATTCGTGAAACGTGTATATATATATATATATATATATATTCCTCTCTTTATTTCATTCGCATCCCCCCTCGATAGATAAATTAAGTTACGTGTAATTTCTTTCATTCTTTCTTTTTTTGTTTACATGCTCGAATTTTCGCCGATGATCGACTCGCTTATCCAATCTTCTCTATTTAAAAAAAAAAGAAGATTCGATTTAAGAGTTACGCTTGGAAAAATATATTTCGCAGAGGGAAAAAGGAAAGGAGGTTTGGGAGAGGAGACGATCGATCTCGTTATGCGCGGAAACACCGGTGAACACCGGGAATCCAGATAATTTGAAACTTATGCGAAGATATCTGGGAATAAATCGATTTCGTTCAATTCATCATCGAAATGATGAATAATCGTAGATAGGGAAGGTTTTGACGGAGCTGTGAGTGCTCGGTTCACAGTTCGTAAATTCGAACGATGAGTGACGTGTCTCAATTGTGATTCACTGCAATGCGTCACGGTGAATAGAGAATCTTATTCTCGGCTCATCGTGGCTTATTGTTCGCAGTCACCTACTTTCATTTGCCCAATTGTATCGTTTCCTTCGCGCAACACTCTACGACCTCTATGTACGTGTGTTTTAAAGCAGGAAATTTCACTCGGTTCCTCTCTAAATCGATTTGCAAGAAAAAAAAAAAAGAAAGAAACCGTTTATTTTTCGGTGTTCGCCTAAAAGCGATTCGATCTCGGTGGCGATATCTTTATAAAAAAAGAAAAAAATAGATGGACTTGTTTTGAAAAAAGAAACGAAGATCCAAAAGTGAACGTCTGTGCGCTATCATCGATTCGATGAAAAGTTCTTGTTCGTGATTGGCGGAATTTCACCAGTTTACCGCTATTTCACCGCATCACCGTGAACTATAAATAGGTTTAAATAATCACGTGAGGCTTGCATACTGACGTACTTACACGTGTAGTATTGTATGGAGTACCTATTTCCGAATATTGCTCTCATTTTCAGCGTAATGAAATTTATCGATGACACGCGTTACTTTATATTTACACGATGCATGTGACACGAGCAATTCAAATCGTTCAAAAGAGATATATATATATATAGATGCGTGTGAGAGAAAAAAAGAAAAAAAAAAATGAGAAAAGAAGTTTTTTTCTTTAAAAAGTTTCTTCAATTTGAACCGTGCCGACGTTTCAGAGATTTCGTTTGTAACGTCGATGTTAATGGCCGATCCTAGAATTCAATGGCACTCCTCTTTTTCTGGCATTCGTAAATTTCACGGATTATCCACTTCGTTTAACGATCTATTCCGAAAAAAAAAAAAAAGGAAAGAAAAAGAAAAAACATTTCAATTCCTTCTTCCTTTAGAGATTTACGAGAAATTTCGGGCGGGAGGGGAAACAAATAAAAAAAAAAGAAAAAAGAAGAAGAAAAGAAATGGAACGAAAAGGGAAAGAGTTATATCGTGGTTTCATTGTTGCAGAATTCACTTTCGTAATTCATTCAGGCCGAAAAGGGCGTTCGCGAGCTAGTTTCCATCTATCACTTTTACGATCGCTTTTTATACGCGCTTACGCCACTGGGTTCGCGCCAAAGAATCGGTAAAATAACGTAGACTTGTAAGAGGAAGGTTGGAGTAGCGCGAAGTGAGATTACACGGACGGGAGAGGATGAGAGACCCAACTTCAACACCAAAATGGCGGAGGCCTGGAGGGTTGGAGGTGGCACGTGTTTGACAGCCTGAGCCAGTGGCGTAACAATGAATTTACGACTTCGTCCCGTTCTTTTCTTTTCGATATTCGCATGATATCTTGTCGATCATCCGAGTCCGAGAAATGGGATCGATGAATATAAAATTCTGAATAATTGTCTCAATACGAAGAAAGGAAAAATAAAATTTATCGCTTTGAACTTTGTCCTTTCTTCTTCTGAATTTTTAATCCACGCGCGAATCAACGAGCCTCTTTCATCTCGATAAATTAAGAATAAAAATAAGGATTACGCAACGGTGAATCAAAGGATCGAATCGAATGCGAAAATATGTTTTCTTCCTTCTCCGTTGAGATATATATCGGTACAAAAAAAAAAAAAAATTGCGAATCGACGAATAATCATTAGGTTGTTCGTGATAACCTTTCCTTAATCTGGACGGATTAAGCATTCTATTTCGACGTCAGGATTATCGGGGAAATTCTTATCGCTGCTTCCTGAACTCTACGCCTCTGAACCTCGACCACCCCCGCATACCATCCCAAGTACACCCCTAATGACGTCATAGGACAGTGGCGCCAACAGCTCTGCACTGACGTCAGTTGTCCCGAACATTGGACAACCAACTTGCTTTTGCCCCATCAATTTCATCTTCCCTTCTTTTCCGGAAAACAAAACGTGCATTGGAAAAATATTTTCGTGGCGTCGTTGATCGATTTTCTTTTTTTTTTTTTGTCTCCGTTCTTTTCTACACCTCGTCTGTTAAAAGAACGAAAGAGCATCGAAGAAGCATCGGTCTCTTAGAGCAAAGGTCTCTCGCGTCTATTATCGATTCGGTGTAAAGCGGCACCTTCGTCATCGATTCGTGATGACGACAACAATGACGATCTCGCTCGCGTTTATTCAACCGCAATTGCAATTATTTTATTTTATACAAGTTTGATCGATATTGGTATTGGCACGATTTATTCGTATCCGCGCGTTCCACAAAATCTTTTAACCTTTCGCAATCTTTATTTGAAGGGTATTTTCCATCAGTTTTTAATTTCTCGGATCTTTTGGAAAATCGAGAATTCTAAATTCTCGGGGTTACAAGTATCGTTACGTGTCGTTCACCATCGACCGAATCGACTTTTCCAAGGTCCCTTTTGCGCTTACATTCGCATTAAACTGTCTGTTTCATTGCCAATGTCATGTACGGAAGAATGGAGATTATTGCAAAAGGTATTCGACGAACATACATATATTTCGTAAATATCTCAACAAAACGCAACAACCGCATGCAACAAATTTGAATAGGTTGTGAATTAAATAATTCGCTTAAGAAAACATCGCGAAGTAGATTACGTAAAAAAACAAACAATTTTTAAATTCATTAAAAAATGTTGCTCGAATTTTGATTATTCGATCGACGTTTTCGTGGATACGAGGAAGAAAAAATAAATATACGATCGAGCAACCGAAATTCCTAAATATTTCAACGAAACGAGGGGAGGGGGAGGAGGGGGGGGAAGAAATCGAGATATCGATTTCCCTCGAACTTGATTACAAGATCAAAGTCGATCGAACACTCGTTTCGATTCCTCGATTGATGAAACAATTCGTTCGAGTTACGTAGTTGCACACGTACCTCGATTACGTGTGATGCATCTAACACGTCGATTGTGCTTACGTCGCATCCCGCTTTCTCGATTCATCATCGGCGATTCAGTTGCTGTTCCACCAAATGGACGGACAAACGAATCCCTCCTTTTTATTGTCGCGAGTATGACGTCAATTCTCTCTAATCTCGGCGCTCATTTTCGAAAATTATGATAGTGACGGCAGGCCAACGCACCGTCGTCGGCGGACGATCATCGGTTCCTGATTACGATCCCCCTGGCCTTTTACCAACCATTTCGCCTCGTCGCACACGGCGTTTTCGTTTTGAAAAAATAAAATCATCGATCGCCGTTTCGAGATCCTATCGAAATTAAGGATAGAAGATTTTTCGATCTTCGTCGCCTTTTTTTTTTTTTTTCTATATGACACGTTTTGAATAATCAAGATACGTTCGACTCGAGAGTTGTTAAATAATGGAGAGTATATTTCTGTCGGTCTATTGGAAAAGAGAGATTGAAAAGAAATTGATATTTTTCGTACGTATAATTAAAATTTTTAAAGTTTTTAAAATTTCTTTTCGATCGTTGAAAATCGGTCACTTCTCGAGCATAGTTACATAGAAGAGGTAGGCGTTGCTGAAACACGTGATCATCGATGTTTTTATCATCGATTTTACCTGGTATTTGTATTAACTACGATGTTACGTAATATTAAACCAAGGTTAAGGTATACGCGATTCTTCTTCCTACGTGAAAGTGACCTTATAATCGTGACATTTACGTTTTTAATATCAACTTGAAAATAATATTGGCGATCAATTTTAGATAAAGGTATAAAGCTGAAAAATCCCTCTCTCACGCGTTATATTTAAAAATATTCGATAAATTTTCAAAGAATTTAAAAGGAAAAAAAAAAAAAAAAATAGTATCGAAATACGAAGCGTTTTGAAACAGGTATCGAGAGAAGATAGAGAATATAAATTTATAAATAAATCACAAAAATTATTCGAATGTTAATTACATATTTATTGGTAGAGAAGTGTATATAATCAAAATACGTATTATAGAAACATATACAGGATGTGCTAAAAGTACGAAAAGTGCAGTATATCGAGTGTAAGAACAGCGTGATAATTAATAAATATTTTTTTTCGCTTTTCTTTTTTTTCTTTTTTCTTTTTTTTTTTTTTCTTTAGCAACAAGACGCGGAAAGAATTAAACATTGAAAAAGAAAAAAAACATCGCATCGCGTAGATGTCTATAAAATTTCATTCGACCATTTCCATTTCCAGCTTAATCGTTTATGAAATTGACAATTTCCTGTATACTCGCTTTCATTCCCAATTATATAGTAGGATGTACATTATTTATACGTTACGTAAGACCTAGTAAAGCATTCTCTGATATCGATTATTAGAGAAATAAGTTGGAACTGAACGATGTTGTAAGATAAATTACAATTAAAATAAATACATATAACATATATTCTACACACATATATATATATATAAATTGAAAACTTACTAAACAATTCGTTTCTCTAGAAAGAGAAATTGTTCTTTTTTTTTTTTCTTTTTCTCGTCAACTTTCAACATTTGTACAAGTTTTGCACAAGCTCGAAGACTCATAATAGAATCAACTAGGATAAACGTAATTAAAATCGTTCAACGATTAATAATAAGAATTGAATATATAGGTAAGATGATATCCATTGGAAAGATTATTTTAAATGTCAATTTCAAATGAAATTTTTTTCTTAAATTAATACAATAGAATACAAGCGAATCGACGAAAATCGAGATCGAGGTTTATTAGTGAAAAAAAAAAAAATCGTGTGCGCGTAATAATTAACGATAGATGCGAATGATCGAAATGTGACAGAGAAGAGGGAAACTTGAACGATACGAAACGAGACTTTTAACAACGCAGCAAATTAGCAAATGTTCATCTTTCTTTCCTTATATATATATATATACACGAGACTTAACGAGAACGAGTCGCGCGTAACGATTATTCAAAGAGATACACGATTCCTCTCCGGAATTGTATTTGTATTTTAATCATCTTCGTCACCCCACACGAAACTTTCCTCTCCGCCAGACGTTACCTCTTCGGTTTTCGACGATTCCTCCACGCTATTCCCGCCGGTCACCGGCTTTCCTTCCGCCCCTTCCGGCTCCTCGACGAAAGGATTCTCCGCCAAGTCGCATTCGCATTCCTCGTGCACGTCCTCCTCCTCGATCTTTGCGAATCATAGGCGCGAAATAAGAAACGTAATCTCTCGTTTAAAAAAAAAAAAATTTTCTTCGTCAAACAGACGTTTCTCCCAAATATTTATTACCTGGGTCTCGTCGTCCGTGATCGGATCGTAAGCCTTCTCCTCCCTATCTTGATCGGTAACATCGCACGTTATCTCGTCGTCGCGGCAATGGTCGATGCTTTTCACTTCCCGATCTTGATCGAGGAAGGTGACGTTCGCCAACCTTTCCTCCTTCTCCTCTTCCTCCCGTGTTTTCTCCAAATGTTCCTCGATCAGCATCCGCTCCTGCTCTGCCAGCAAAGCCGCCGTTTTAGCCTCCTCCAGCTTTCTGCGCACACGGAAAATTATTTATCGTAACGGTGCAATTCTAAGAGAAGGGGGGGAGCGAGTTTTTTCCTTTTTTTTCTCGAACAAAATTACCTCTTACCTCTCTTCCTCGAGTATCTTTCGAGTTTCCAAGAGGTCAGCCTCGATCTTCTCCTCCTCTGCCTTTCTCTTTTCTTCGATTTTTTCTTGCTCGATAATCTCATCGAGATGAGCTACTCGTTCCTGCGCTATTTGCAGCTGCTCCCACACCTTTGCCTCCTCCACCTCGAGCCTCGTCCTTTCCTCCTCGGCAGCTATTTTACGCTCCTCTTCGGTCCTGCCACGAAATCTCGTTTTTAAATCCACGCCCGATTATCATCCGATAAAAGACGCTCGATATTTTTGGCACGCGTGCAAATCGGTTGGAAGCCGATTTTTACCAGGTCACCCGGCCGGGTTCAATGTTACGATCGCTGATCGATTTCGCGCGCTATGTCGAAATCATTTTAAACTGTCTCGACTTGGTTACGCAATATTTTTATCATCGATGAAACGTGCCAACTTTTATTACTAGGGCTACCCACCTCGCCTTCTCGGCAGCTTCAATAAGGTACTGCTCTATTCTCTTCACAGCCTCCTCCTTATCTTGCCTCACTGAAACGTGAAAATTCTCCTCGTTAATGTCTCATAAAAAGGAAATATGGAGTTGTACATCCCTTAGTTTATTCATCCCCCCTCCCTCTTTGTTACAACGATGTACCAACAATACGTATACAGGATACAGATTTCTAAGACCGAACAAGGAAACATACGGAACGAATATCATGCGACAACACGTAAGAGACACGTTGTACGATACATTTCATACTTGTTCGGTATACTTATCCAGAAAATTCTTTAAATCATTCTCTTCCTTCGTTGGAAACAGGGCGATGGGCGTAATTTTATAACAATGATCGAAATTCGAACGAATAAATTTACTTCGAAAAATGTTATTATTCGCTCGTAACAACAATAATCAACAATCGGAAATAATCGCAACGATCGAGGTTACGTGAAAATTCGAAGTAACTTTATTCTTAATTTTTTTCCTAACTTAATTTTTGAATCGGATCGAGTATAGCCGGACTCTGCTTCGAAACAACATACCATCCTCGGTCGTTGCCTCCTTCTCATCTGTTTCCTCCGATTCACTTACAGCTTCGTTAACTTCTCGCTTGGACTCCACCTCCTCCTCGGATACTAACGCTTTCGTTTCTGGTTGCGCCACCTCTTTCGCGGATTCTGTCAAGTTTTCTGGATTCGACTCCACTGCTTTTCCAATCTCTGAAAGTGATTCGCGTGCAGGCTCGGGTTCAGATTCGGATTCAGACTCGGGTTCGGATTCAGACTCGGATTCAGGTTCAGGCGTGGATTCTTTCGCGGGCTCGGGTTCAGGCGTGGATCGTTTCGCAGGTTCAGGTTCGGGTGTCGGCTCTGTTTGCTTCACGGGTTCCGCTGGTTCAGGCTCTGTCGTTGGTTCTTTGGCAGGATGCTCGACTTTATCCAGAGATTCAGCTTCTGTTACAGGCTCGTTCGCGACTTCTGGTTCCCCCGCTTCGGGTTCAGATTGAACTGGTTCAGGCACGCTCATTTCCACCATCTCCTCATCCTCCTCGATTTTCTCGCGGCTCGAGAATCCAAGTTTCCTCTCCCCTTTCGATTCCGTTTCTCTACGCGTTTTATCTGTTACTAGGAATACAACGAAACGATCACATTTCTCTTCTTTCTCTTTCAACAGGGACATTCGCGATTTCGAGACACTTTTTTTTACCTTTTCTCAAAGTCGACTCGTCCAAATCAGGTTGCAACGCTCGCGCTAAAATTTGTCAGAATGATGAATAGAAAAAAAAAAAAAAAGGACAAGAGCAAAACGAACGAATTAATCGACGATTGTTAGAGAAATTTTTACTGACCCTTCCGCAACTCTCTTTCCGTCATCGGCTGATCTGGAGCTATAGCAGTGATATGAAACACATAAATGTTCGATTAACAACATATTTTCCACGTGTCTTTTGTGTATCTGAAAATGGGCGGGGAGGGGGGGGGGCGGGGGGAAAGAGCAGGATGAATGTAAACGAGTGGAACAAAGCCGTAAGTTAAAAAAAAAAGAAAAAAAAAAAAGAAGTCAGCCAGAAATATCAAGGTTATTGACGTTTCTTGTGTTAATCATAATTAACGCAATTTTATCAACAATAATGATAAAAAGCTTCGTAAAGGAAACGGTAAACGAAAGATTACGTTCAAACATACGATGGTGTGCGACTGAGATGAATTAGAATATTAGAATTATTTCGAATTTTCAGAGAGTATATCGGTGATAATGAAATTGATTCCTGAAATTGATTTTTTATTTTTTTTTTTTTTCTTCGTTACGACGATGTAATTTATTATCGACAAAAAAAAAAAAAAAAAAAAGAAAAGAACGATGAATCGAATTATTGCTCTCGTCTTGCTTCGATTATTTCCTATCATACAAATGATGATCGGGGGGAGTGTGATGGTCGATTAAAAGAAAAGGACACACGGTATATATGTGTGTGTATATATATATATACTTAACGTTGTTCCACCGCATCTGTCGCTTCGATGAAAATGGGCGGGTATTTTTTGTTATCACGTTATTAGGATCACGTATGCACAAATTTAAACGTGATTGTGGCACGGGGGAGGATATTCGTCCCTTCTTTCTCCTACACCCCTTTTTTAATAGATTTTTACTTTAGTTGCTGCGATATCTCTTATAGTCTTTTTTTTCTTAATATCGCTGTTGTTGTTACAATCGTGTGATTAATCATCACCCCTTTCTCAACAACCGGAAAAAAGAAGAAGGAAAAAAAAAAAAGAAAAAAGAACCACTCAACCTCGCTTCAATCGGTCTGATTTTATTATTAGAATCTGCAAAAGCACGCATGATAAGCTTACCTCGAATGCAACGCAATATTCGCTCAGATAGCCAGCTTCTCTAATCTTTCCGATATTTGTGCATTTGTGAAAACAATTGACGGTGTCGTGTATTTTTGTTTTTTTTTTAATTCATCGAACATTGATTTATTTGGATATTTATTATTTTTTTTTTTTAATCGGACAAGTTTTAGTATTTAGTATATACAAGGAGTAAATTGTGAATTTCTCGAATCGCGTAGAGTTTGTTTATTTTTCTTTTCTTTTTTTTTTATTTTTTTTTTTTTTTTACTGAAAATCGTATGAACGATTACTCGTAACCGCTGTTAATGTTTTATTTTATTTTATTTTATTTTATTTTTTTTTCTTTTTCAGTCTTTTCGCTATTATTATTTCGTGCGAAAACCGACACCAAAAGTGTTGTTAATTAATCCTTTAATTAGTTCGACTAATTTCTTTCTTAACGAAATTCACAATAGGTCGGTCTCGGGTTTCTAAATTAAATCTGTGTGCGAAAGGTATTTTATCGATAATTCGATTCTCTCGAATCGTGTGCAATCGTGTGTTGGTGATCGTTGTGCGCAATGGGGCCACGCGTAGGATTGTGAAAAACGTGGTGGATTTTTATAAATTTAAAAAAAAAAATAATCGGGGCGATATTTTAATAAAAACGCGAGCGTCGTCATTCTTCGGCAGCCGCTTCACTCTCATTCTCTTGCTCCTCCTCCTCCTCCTTCCGTTTCATTTTTGTCGGATCCTCGTACAGCTCTGGAACCCGATTCCTCCATCCTTTGCCTGAAACGTTCAAAAAAGCCGAACTGGTTCTTCCTCTGCCATTTCTACCCCTATTTACGTGTCCCAGTCATCTGGTTCTGCACCGACACTGCAGTTCTCTCCCTTCGTGTGAAAAATCTTGCTCTCATCTCAGTTTTCGTTTTTCCTTCTTTCTTTCTTTTTTTCTTTTTTCTTTCTTTCTTTTCGTTTCTTTTTTTTTTCTTTTCTTTTCTTTCTTTTTTCTTTTTTTCCGCAACTCGAATATCGTCGATTGCCGTCAATTGTCAAGAGAAATCAACTCGTCGAGAGACGAGTTAAAAAAAAGACGAGAAAAAAGTAAACGAAAAAAGACAAACAAAAAAAAACAACGTCTCACACCTTCGTGTCGCTACGCGTACATATTTTAATTAGACACAGTTTATAACAATAAAATCTGTACATACATACAAAAGAACGAGGAAAAAAAAAAGAGCGTAGAGATGAAGAGGAAACTACGTAACGAACGAGGGAAACAAAAAAAAAAAAGAAAAAAAAGAAAAAAACAAGAGTACAACACAGCACAGCAAAAAAATTGTCAGATCAGAGCGAATCCAATGGCAATCCATCCAAAAAAGAGTGGAAAAAAAGAGTAGAAAACCGAGCGGGAAAGAAAAACCAAAAAAAGAAAGGTACACACAACGGCGTCACATGGCCGCTTTTATTTTTCCAAAATTTTCTTCAAGATCTATATCTTATATTAAAAAAATATACGGGAAAGTAATGCCGAATAATATCGCCCTTTTTTTTTTCTCTTTTTTCACTTTCTTCGATTTCCATATCGATAATAATTATACATCTTCGATAATTATTCGTCATTCGATCTTTCTCGTAATAACGTAACTATTATTATTTATCTTCTTTCCTACATGTTCCGTGTTTATGATTCCGCGATAAAAAAATCATTCGTTCGTATCGTCCGTTCTTCGATCGAAAAAGAAAAATCCATATCTAACTGTCCTAGAAGTTCTTTTTTCCATTTTCAGCGATTCGACGTAAAAAAAAAAAAAAAAGAAATTATAAAATAAATAAATAAATATATTTGTCCTAATGATAAATATAAAGAAGAAAACCGTGCAATTTCTCGAAGCGATGATCGTCGAACAACAACAATGTCGTAAAAATAAATGGAGAAATTTTAGGACAGCTCGACACACGTCACGCGCGTCCTCCTCCGAGCGTTTATCGTAGCGATCGTGTTCGTGTAGTCGTCGTTTTGTGATCCTCGGTATGTAATTACTCACAGGCGTTAGCCGCCGCCTCGCGGTTCTTGCTGTAGTAACTGAGAAAATTGACATCGTTTTTGATGTCGGACGGGCGTAAATCGGCGACCTTGAAGTAGGGTTTCCTGATCGAGTGTGGCTTGCCGGCGACATACTTAACACACGCCAGATTACCAAAGTTACCTCGATCGGGTACCTCGTACCAGGAGATCGGCTCTATCGTGTCCTTCTTCGTGTTGTGCTTGCCCGAGATCAGTCGGCGGACGTAATCCCCGCTGCGCATGCGTTCCGGCACTATTTCCTCCGCGAAGTCGCTAGAAAAATCGAAAAGTCGTTTCGTATTACCGAGCATGGGCGAAAATGAAGGATGGACATATCGGACGGAGAGACGAAGAACGGCTGTTTGTTTACGTTTTCTGAAGCGAATAACGGTTAAATATACCTTGCTACGGCTCGTGGGACGAAGATGTGTACTCGTCGAAGAAGGGAATCCACTCTCGCACGTATTTCCCTCGCCTCGTCGTCGAAGTACTGTGAAGAGAGATACGTAAAATATACGTGCAAAGGTTCTCGTTCTGTTTCTAAGACAGGAATTAGTATTATAGCTAATAATAACGATCGTTTCGTTATTCGGTTAAATCGATCGAAAGAAAAGTACAATCGCGGTGTTACAAGATGGGACAAATTACAAATTTCAATAATTTTAAACATGCTTCGAGTTGTGATTGAAACAAATTCTTGTAGAATCGATAATATAATAATACATATATGTATATATATAAAACTCGATGACAATCGTGAAAAATTTAAACTTGTCCGTGTAAAAAAGACGACGCGATTCCGCCGAACGATGATGCCAGATGTCGTCGAAGAGCAATGGGTTGTAATCGTGAAGAGATGCGACGATGCATGAATGATTCGATGATCGGACGTGTCTCGATGACATGGATGATGATAATGATGATGACGACGACGACGACGACCGACACTCGTGCTTAATGGCCGTGAATGATGCGACTGTTTTCTTTTCTTTTTTTTCTTTGCGTTGAAACAGAGATATCGGAGGAGATATCTTAGGCAGACTTACGATGTGATCCTTCGATTGAAGATACTTTTCCACGTAGGATTCGGTGGACGGTCTTGTCAGGTTGCGTATCCTGTTGAGCTCAGCTGCAATGACGCTTGGACGTATGCGCGTATGAACTCTTATCGGTATCAGGGTGCCGCCATAGTACACAGTATGATACGGGATGTGGATTACAGTGACGAGCCGTTTATGAGCCACGTATGGCATGCGGGGAATGCTTCTCAACTAGAGGCACGAACTCTGCTTTACTAATTCGTCGACTAATTCGTTACGTTCCCAGCGGCATCAGCGACAATTAGCTTCGGACAAGCCAGTGCTACTCTCAAGCATTTGCGTTGTCTATTTCCCATTCTTTCCTCCCTCTTTCTCTCTCTTTCTCTCTTGTCTTTTTTCTTTTTTTCCCTCGCCATTCGTTCTTCCGATATCAGATTCATTCGCGATCAGCAATGATAATCGATTAATAGCAATTTGCAGCAATTGCAGTTATTTAGCAATCTCTTTCGCCATTCATTCTCACGGTAATGGATTTATTCGCGATCAGCAATGCGATAATATTCGATATAGGCATTATATCAATCGTTTGTGCAGTATTTTAGCAATCTACGATCTCTTTCTCTCTCTTCTCAACGAATTCATTCGCGATCAGCAATGGCAATGGCAATAATTTTTTTTTTTTCGAGTTTCTTTCCTTCGCCGTTCATTCATTCATTGACATTTACGTTGAAGCGATTAGAAACGATAAGTAGAAATTACGAAATAATAATCAATCGTGATTGCAACGTGGTGTTCCAGTAATTTGAGCAAAGAAAATCGGATTAGATATTATATTAATCATTGTGATCGCAATTCGCAACAGTGCTTTGGCAATCTACGATCTCTCTAATCATCTTTTCTCTCCTTCGTCTTTGCCTCTCTTTCCACCACTCATTCTCACCAATTTCGAAGCGGGTTAGCAGCTAAAGCGGTCGATTAAGTATTGCACCAACGATCGTGGTGATTGCAACGTGAAACAATGTTTCGTGTTTAATTTTCATATGATACGGATGATTTGCGAAAATGCGTTGATGATTCGATTTAGTAATGAAGAGATGGAATAAGCAGAAAAGCGTCGTGGAGCAGCATTCAAAAAAAAAAAAAAAAAAAAAAAGAAGAAGAGAAATCTTGCGGTGAAAATCGGCGATTCGCAAAAATCGAGTGTGTCATTGTTAAAATCTTGCTGCCTGCTACTTTTTTGCGATTCAAGCGAGCTATTATTTTTCTTTTCTGTTCTGTCCATTAGCTTGTAACTCCATGCTACTTACCTGAAGAATCGTAGAGATCGGTAAGGTAATCGGTCGATCCTGCACCCCGGTTTTTCGTCGTAGTATTTACAGACATTTTGTGTGTGATTTTCGTTTTTATCGATTTTCGACGATATTGGATGTGATCCGACGGCGGCGATTGGGACGAGGAGTCACAGTGGGAAGCAGAATAAATAGAAAGAAGAACAACACCCGGTTAGTAATGCTCGCAATACAGTATCCTTTTCTGCACTCTTTTTTTATTTTTTTTTTTATTTATTTTCTTTTTTTTATATATATATTTTTTTTTCACGCATCTTCACTTTATTCATTCCTTTATTTCCTTCGTTTACACACGTGCGTGTTATTGAATTGGCGACCGTCGGTCGAAATCGTTCGTGTGCGAAACTGATCGGTAATAATGCGCGATTTCAATTTAATTCGAGATCGGGGAGGAAGAGAAAAGCAAGGAAAAGTGTACCTTGAAGGCTAAG